CTGTCGAGGAGACTGCTTCAAACCGTATAGCGATTTCTTCAACCTACAAACCAACTTATCCTTCTCTATAGCTCAGAATCCTAATGGCTGAGTCATATATATTTTTTTATCAATATCACCATAAAGAAATACCATCTTTACATCCAACTGATCTAACTCCAAACCATACTGTGCCACCAAAGCTAACAAAATCTGAATCGAAGAGTGCTTCACCATCGGAGAGAAAACCTCATTATAATCAATACTTTCCTCCTGTGCATAGCCCTTTGCAACCAACCTAGCCTTAAACCTCACTGGAGTGCCTTCAATGCCCTCCTTCTTTATGTATACCCACTTGCAACCAATCACCTTTCGTCCCTTTGGAAGCTCAACAAGCTCCCATGTATCGTTCTTATGAAGAGACTCCATCTCCTCCTGCATAGCTACCTGTCACGAATCAGCATCCGAACTTTGCTCGGCCTCTCTAAAAGTAGTAGGCACCAACTCATCGATACTCTCCACCGGAAGTGCATATGTAACTACTATGTCGGTATACCATGCTGGCATCCGTATGTCTCTCCTCTATCTTCGAACCGCAATAAAATCCTGAACCTGAGCTGTCGATCCCTAATTCTGTACATCTATACCCGTATCCTCCTTATCATCATCGTGCTTGCCTGGCATCACCTCAGTCGACACTCCAATGGATACTGTACTATTGGTCAATGTGGAGCTGTATCGATCTCCATCACCTATGATATCTCCTCCGTCGGGGTGCTCTCTACCTGATGAGAGCTAAGAAGCTTCAAAACCGAAGCCTTATCAAAAGTGATGTCTCTACTCAGTACAATCTTCCTATCAACATGATCACATAGCTTGTATCCCTTGACACCATGCTTGAATCCTACAAATATGGTCTTCCTAGCTCGAGGTTTTAACTTATCAGTCTTAACATGATAGTATACGTGACACCCAAATACCTTGAGCTGGTCATAGTCGTGTGCTGGCTCTTCCGACCACATCTCCATAGGGGTCTTTCCCTCAATCACAGATGAAGACATGCTGTTAATGAGGTGTCTCGCATATGAAAGTGCCTCAGCCCAAAAGATCTTTTCCAAACTACTATTCGCCAACAAACACCAGATCTTCTCCAGTAAAGATCAATTTAACCTTTCTGCCATCCCATTCTGCTATGGTATATGACTAAATGTAAAGTGTCTCTCTATGCTCTCGTCTCGATATAGCTGTTAAAAGGGGTTTGATATGTACTCACCACCGTTGTCGGATCATAACGTCTTGATCTTTCTCCCAGTCTGCAGTTCCAACCTCTTCTTCCACTCCACAAATATATCTAAGACTTCACTCTTCTTCACCATGGTGTATACCTAACAACGCTCAGAATAGTCATCAACGAACGTGACGAGCCAATGTCGACCACCAAGTGATGCAGTCTTGGTGGGACCTCAAACATCTGTGTGCACGTAATCCAGGATGCCCCTCGTCCTATGAATGGATGTCCCGAACTTCACCTTCAGATAATACAAGTTTCAACTACGAACTCCCTTGATCATCACCAAAGATCCCTTAGTAACATTTGCTATAGCGTCTTCAAAGGTCACCTTGAATCCTTTTGCCTCCAAAGCTCCTACAGAAATAAGATTCTTCTTCAGGTAAATGACAAATCTCATCTCTTTCAATTTACGGTCTACTCCATCGTGCATTCGAATCCTCATGGTATCTATGCCACAAATGCTACATGATTGATCATTTTCCATAACAACAACATCCCTATCGAGTCTCTCAAATAATGTAAACCAATCACATGATAAGTAGTGCCAGAATCAAGCATCCAATCTAATGCATCCACATGGTTTGCCTCCGGAGTAATCAATAGAGAAAAGCTCAAATCATCAGAATCATCGCATTTCGTAATATTCACATCATTGGCTTTCGAGCCCTTTTTCTTGCTATTCCCCTTCTCCTTAATCTTTGGACAGTTTTTCTTCCAATGTCCCTGCTCCTTGTAGAACGCACACTAGTTTTTAGCTAACTGGTGATGGCCTCTAGACTTTGACCTACTCTTATTACCACCTCTCAGATATAGGCTTCTACCTCTCGTCGACAAGGCCTCTCCTGTAGTACTAGCACGAGAAGTCTCATTGTCTTTCCTCCTCAAATCATAGTTTGTCAAAACGTTAGTTACTTCACTATAGCTGATAGAAGATCTCCCATTCAACAAAGTAAGTACAAAGGTATCATACTCCTCATCCGGTAAGGATCCTAGCAAAATAATCGTCTTGTACTCATCGATATCTTCTCATCAACATTCACCAAGTCTGACAACAACTTAGTGTAGTTGTTCACATGAACTGCTAGTGAGGTTCCCTTGGACATCTGAAATCTGAATAATCTATGCAGCAAGTGCAATCGGTTCTCAACACTCTTCATAAGATACTTATTGTTGAGAATCTCTCATATCTTCATTGCAGACGTCACCCCAATCACATCATACTTCAGCTACTGTTCCAAACAGGACCTGATCACCCCACAAGCGTTCATATTTATCTTTTTCCATATCGCCTCCTCGTATTTTGGTAGACTCTCATGGACCATGATAATATCTTCCAAATTTTGAGCATTGAGAGCATCCTGTACGTCACTCATCCACAAACTAAAATTGATTTTATCGTTATATTTAACCACACTAATTTTAGTGTTCTGAAAACCAACTTGAACTGTACCCGCCATCTTGCTGCTTTCACCAATTTCTTCACCTATACTCACAAACTCCAAATTGTAGAGAAAATTTTAAACTTTGATTGGATTGAGAAATTACTCAACTGAACCCTAGATAGGATTCTAAATAGATCTCCTAACCACACAAGAAAAGCGAGATCCCAACGGTAACTCCGCAATGCTATCATCACCGAAGCCTAGAACTCTAAGAACCAAGCTTCCACAATGAATCTTCTTCCACCCAATGCCAAAACCTTAGATAGCTCTGATACCAATTGTTGTGCGTCGTACGGAAGCATGCTCGATAACCAAACGAGTCGGTGAGCGATGAGAGAAGAAAACCAAACCAAATACGAGTGTAATTCACAAAAATACGACACAAATCAAACCAAACACAGAGATTTACATGGTTCAGCAATTGCCTACGTCCACAGGGAGAGGATGGGGAGATTTTACTATATGGATTAGAAATACAACGGCTTATAACTCACAAAATTACTCAAATATAACCCTAACCAAAGCCCTCAACTCTCTTACAATAGCTCCCTCTCAAAGTGCTCAAAAGACTGCTAATTCTCTTCTTTAGAAACCATAGAAACGTGTTTATATTTATAACAAACTCAATCCTAAATAATGTAGGACTCTGAAAACGAGTCTGCCACACCCGAGGGTGGCAGACACCACACCCTTAAAAATAAGGTAGATTCTGCTACACCTGGGTATGGCAGACACCACACCCCTGATAACAGGGGATAGATTCTGCCACCTGGGTGTGGCAGACATCACCACCAGGGTATGGCGGAGCCTGTCTTGCTTATTTTTCATATTTTTTCTCAATTTTTTTTCTCAATTCCTTCGCTATTTTCACAATTTATCCATTGTCGAACAGGATTCACTCTAAGACGGAGATTGTATTTTCTATTTTAGATTATTAATAGATGCATGTATGGACGTGAACAGAGAAATTTAGACGTTCGAATTGAAATTGTTTGAAGATCGATCTTCAGGATAACTTTTGGAAATAATTCTAATAATATTAAGATGGGAAAAATGCTTCCAGCCCCCAAAACACAACAAAACGTGCTCCCCGCGCGCGATTTTCTTCCAGCCCCCAAAACGAATCCCCAGGCGTAACTCCGTTTAAACCCCACTCGAAATGCCCAAAATACCCTTAGCAGACTGTGTTCGTCGCCCTCTCACGATGGAAACCCAGCGTTTCGACTGTAGGCATTAAATGGTGATTAGAATGACTTTTTTTTTGGGGGGGGGATTCTCATTTCCCTCCAAAATTATCACCAGATATATTTCCCCTTCCAGCTAAAATCGCTGAGTTCCTCCCCATTCTATTACCCCAACTAATTTGTTCCTTCCACTTAATTCTCCTCAATAAAAGCCTCTTCGATTCTTCAATTACTCCCTGTAATAAAATGGCGGATGGATCTCTTCTATGCGTGGTAACGAAGGCAAAAAGCAACAAAGGTAGTGACATTATATTCGTCGTTATCAAAGAGAATACAGAAATAATCAGCTTGAGATATCAAGTGGCGGAAAGGCTTAAAAATACAGAAATAATCAGCTTGAGATATCAAGTGGCGGAAAGGCTTAAAATACCAATGCAATCTCTTTCACTGAAGTTCATGCGGAAAGGCTTAAAATACCAATGCAATCTCTTTCACTGAAGTTCATATGCGAAAGGGAAAAGAAATTCAATATTTCAATTGACAATGACGACGAGTTAAATTTGATGTTCGAGTATTGTCGGTGTAATGGATTAACAGACGTGAATTTGTATGCTACCTCCGCTGCGGAATCCTCAACTTCGTAGAACACGCAGACTACGCCGGAAACTACGTAGGAATTACACTCCAGATTTCCTTTTGAGTTCACTGATAGGTTTTGCCATTAGTTGTTAACCTCATGCATTGGTTGCTTTGGTAATGTATTGGTTGTCAAGGTTATGTTAAGCACTGGTTGTTAAGGTTATTTGTTGGCTGTTACGTATACTAGTTGGTTGCTAAGATAAGGTGTTTGATGTTAAGTATATGCGTTTATTGTTAAGGTCACGAGTCTGCTCTTAAGTATAAGGGTTAGTTGTTTAGGATATATGTTGGATGTTACGTTTATGAGTTTGTTGTTAAGGTTATCAGTTCGTTGCTAAGGCTATGTATTTTTATTACTACTTCAGGACAATATCGATAGAAAATTCACGGTGCGCAGATACCACGTTCACCCAAACCTATAATGATGAGCGTATTCCTAATGACAACCCCACCGGCGACTCGATCATGCTGCTGGAAGACATGCTTAATCACCAAACAAAGATCCCAACTGAGTGGCACACCTCCATTCGTGAAGTTGGTCAGAAATTTGATAGTGCTGCTGAAGTTAGATTAGCACTTCAATACTATTCAATTGCTAAACAGTTCGAGTATGATTTTTACCACAATGAACAAAGACGCATAAGAGTCTATTGCCGATTCAAGCACACACATGGTTGCCCTTGGATGTTGTTTGCTTCCCCGCTCAGAAATTCGTCTATCATGTCCATAAAGAATTTCGAGCCTACCCACACCTGCGGTCAACATGGAGCAAATGCTGGCAACTCAAGGGCATCAAGGAAGTTCATTGCTAGCCAAATACAAGCTATTTTGAAGGTTAGGCCAGATCTTCGTGCGGTCGATATCAAGAACAGCATGCTCTCTAATTTTGGCATCAAAATTAACTACAGTAAATCGTGGTGGAGCAAGGAGACAGCTCAGCAGGACCTGTTCGGTGACGATGATGAGGCTTACGATTCACTGAGATGATCCTTTTCTTTTTTATTCTTCTAAAATCACTCTTACGTTTTGGTTGCTAACTATACGTAGTAGTTGTTAAAGTTGGTGGTTCGACGTTAAGTATACGGGTTGGTTGTGAAGTTTGAAGATCAGTTGTTATGGTTATGAATCCGTTGCTAAATCTACTGCTTACGTTTTAGTTGCTAACTATACATATTAGTTGTTAAAATTATTGGTTCGTCTCTAAGTGTACGTGTTGGTTGTGAAGTTTGAAGATCAGTTGTTATGGTTATGAATCCTTTGCTAAATCTACTGCTTACATTTTGGTTGCTAACTATTCGTATTAGTTGTTAAAGTTATTGGTTAGTCGTTAAGTATACGTGTTGGTCGTGAAGTTTGAAGATCATTTGTTATGGTTATGAATCCTTCGCTAAATGTACTGCTTTGTTGTTATATTCATGCAGGTATGAATCCATGGTGCATGCAACTAATCCAGGGAGTCGTGTTATTATTGATGCTGATGATGGGAGGTTCAGGCGATTGTTCATTAGTTATAATGTCTGTATTGAAGGGTTCATTGCTGGGTGTATGCCTCTATTGTTTTTGGATGGAATATTTATTAAAGATCGTTACAGAGGCATACTACTTAGCGTTACCGGGTATGACGGCAACCAGGGAATATTTCCCCTTGCTTATTGCGTATGCGACCAAGAGAATGAGGTTAACTGGAAATGGTTCTTACAAGGATTATGAACGTTACTGTATGATAGGGAAAATCCTTACCAACCTCCACATCGACTGGTAATGATTTCAGACGCTGACAAGGGTATCAGGGCAGCAGTCGAGGAATTCTTTCCAGATGCATTCCATTCAAGGTGTGTTCTGCATCTAGTTGAGAATTTCAAAAAGAAGATGAAGGATTTTGGGCACAACACAAATGTCGTTACTACGTTGGGCGATCTGTTACAATCTGCGGCTTATAAGTTCACAATATCTGAATGGGATAATAACATGAAAGAATTGGCAACGATCGATCACAGGGCTTACGTCACTATAATGGAATACTCCCCGGATAGATGGGCAAATGCGCATTTTCCTGGTATAAGGTAAGATAGCTTGGTCCCAACGTTATTTTGTTACAGCACCGTTATAGTTGTTTAGGTTAGAGTTATCCTACAGTTTTCTGTTAAGGTTAGATTTTTATTGTTATGGTTAGAGTTATTCTGCTAGGGTTTTGCTGTTAAGTTTAGGATATTTGTTGTTAAGGTTAGGCCTTTAATGTTTAGTTTATGGTTTTATTGTTAATGTTAGTGTTTTGTTGTTAAGGTATGGCCATGTTACTTCAAACGTTGCTGAGTCCTTCAACAGCTGGATAAGAAAGGCACGATTGTTGCGAATCTTACCTTTGGTTGAGACCATACAGAAGCAAATAATGGAGCACATGCATGAAAGGAGGCTAGTGGGTCAGAAATGGTCTGGATACTTATGCCCGGAAGCGGAGATGGTGCTGAGTGATAATATTCAGCATGGTAGCTGCTTGGCGATTAAACATTCGACGGAAGATATTGTGGAGGTCGAGTCCAATAAAACTTGCCGTGTAGATTTGAAGAATCGGACTTGTTCTTGCAAGTCCTGGGACATCACCTGCATTCTTTGCAAACATGCGTGCGCTGCAATTACATGGATGGGATGAGATATTTATTAATATTGCGATTGGTACATGACTGTTGACGCATTCAGAGCAAGTTATGCACCGATCATCTTTCTCATCCCAGATTACGAGAAGCGCTTTGTACCACCAGAAGAGCGAGTGTTGAAGCCTCCTCTCACCAAAAAAAGACGTGGCAGACCATGCACAAGACGAATAAACAATAGGTCGCTGAACACCCGACCTGTTAAGTACTCTCGATGCAACATGGAGGGTCACAATCGTGCAAGCTGTAACGAGCCTATATAGTTTAGCGTTTTATTGTCATGTTTATGGAATTGTTGTCCTGTATATCATTACAAGTGAGAAGGTCATAGCTTGGCTCTTAAGGTTATTACTTGGTTGTCAAGTTTATCACTTTAATTTTAAAGTTTTGACTTGGTTGTTAAGGTTATTATTTGGTTGTTAAGTTTATCACTTTAATGTTAAAGTTTTGACTTGGTTGTTAAGGTTATTATTTGGTTGTCAAGTTTATCACTTTAATGTTGAAATTTTGACTTGGTTGTTAAGGTTATTACTTGGTTGTCAAATTTATCACTTTAATGTTAAAGTTTTTGATTGGTTGATATGTTTATCGATTGAATGTTAAGTTTACTGTTATAAACCTGTTATCCACCTGCTCTTTGTTATCAGTATCACCGATTGTTAAAATTGTCAAGTATATCGTTAAAATTGTTAAGTTTTATGGCTTGTTGTTAAGGTTATTACTTGGTTTTCAATTTTATCACTTTAATGTTAAAGTTTTGGCTTGGTTGTTAAGGTTATTACTTGGTTGTCAAGTTTATCACTTTGGTTATTATTTGGTTGTCAAGTTTATCACTTTAATGTTAAAGTTTTGACTTGGTTGTTAGGTTATTACTTGGTTGTCAAATTTATCATATAATGTTAAAGTTTTTGATTGGTTGATATGTTTATCGATTGAAAGTTAAGTTTACTGTTATACACCTGTTATCCACCTGCTATTTGTTGTCAGTATCACCGATTGTTAAAATTGTCAAGTATATCGTTAAAATTGTTAAGTTTTATGGCTTGCTGTTAAGGTTATTACTTGGTTTTTAATTTTATCACTTTAATGTTGAAGTTTTGGCTTGGTTGTTAAGGTTATTACTTGGTTGTCAAGTTTATCACTTTAATGTTGAAGTTTTGACTTGGTTGTTAAGGTTATTATTTGGTTGTCAAGTTTATCACTTTAATGTTAAAATTTTGACTTGGTTGTTAGGTTATTACTTGGTTGTCAAATTTATCATATAATGTTGAAGTTTTTGATTGGTTGATATGTTTATCGATTGAATGTTAAGTTTACTGTTATACACCTGTTATCCACCTTCTCTTTGTTGTCAGTATCACCGATTGTTAAAATTGTCAAGTATATCGTTAAAATTGTTAAGTTTTATGGCTTTCTATTAAGGTTATTACTTGGTTTTTAATTTTATCACTTTAATGTTGAAGTTTTGGCTTGGTTGTTAAGGTTATTACTTGGTTGTCAAGTTTATCACTTTAATGTTGAAGTTTTGACTTGGTTGTTAAGGTTATTATTTGGTTGTCAAGTTTATCACTTTAATGTTGAAGTTTTGACTTGGTTGTTAGGTTATTACTTGGTTGTCAAATTTATCATATAATGTTGAAGTTTTTGATTGGTTGATATGTTTATCGATTGAATGTTAAGTTTACTGTTATACACCTGTTATCCACCTTCTCTTTGTTGTCAGTATCACCGATTGTTAAAATTGTCAAGTATATCGTTAAAATTGTTAAGTTTTATGGCTTGGCTGTTAAGTTTTATGGCTTGGCTGTTATCTACCTACTCTTTGTTGTCAGTTTTTCTTGTTTGTTGTTAATGTTACTATTATTCACTTGCAATTAGCTATCAAGGTTACCAAGATATTTTTGATTTGACTGCATTCAATGCATTTTATAGTTCCCAAGGCAATAGAGTAATATCACCATCCCTCGGATTGTTCCAATACAGAACCGAACTATATAACATTTCTCCTCGCCTTTACATCTTCTTTATCTTCCCATCACCGTCATTCTATTTGTCCTCACTATTTTCTCGATCATCCTAAGCTCTCCCCTCTCCAATCTCATAAACCAGAAGATCACGGCTAGCCCTCACACTTATGAAGGCTTCTTCAATATTTCTGGGTTCTGACCATATGATAGCATCAACCTTTTTTGAATATTATTACCTTTATCTATTCCCCCATTGTCATTATCTCTAAGTTCCATCGGATGGGCTTGAATAGCAATGGCCTTCTCCAAAGAGCTTTCCGTTAACTTAACAGGCTGCTGGAAAGCTCTTTGTTGGAAGCCATTTATATTCAAGCACAGTTTATGGAACTTAGAGAATTGACAATGGGGAATAGATAAGGTTATTAGCATTCAGTTGGTTGATGCTATCATACAGTCAGAATCCAAGAAATCTTATACTCGAACGAGCCTATATAGTTTAGTGTTTTATTGTCATGCACATGGATTTATTGTCAAGTATATAGTTACAAATGTTAAGGTCATGGTTTTGATGTTAGGGTTATTATTTGGTTGCTAGGTTTATTGATTGAATGTTATGTTTACTGTTAGGTCTCTTATTGTTATTCACTTGTGCTTGGTTGTCATGGTCACCGGAGTATATTCTCTGCTAATGCATTCAATGTTCCTCCCAGTTCCCAAGGAGGAGAGTTAATATAACCTGGGCTCCTACCCTTCGCCTGTTCAACTACAGGATAGAGCAGATATCCTTTCGGCGCAATCTTTCCTCGTTCTCCCCATCATTTATTCTCTGTTGACCCTCTATCATTTAATCTGAAGCCCGAGCTACCCTCTCCCCAAAACCTACAAGTTCTCCTTTCACCATTAAAACCAGAAGATCAACGCTAGTATTCAGGCCGATGAAGGTCATGGCGACAAGGTTTGCGCACACTGATGAAGATCTTGGGTATCCCTCACGCTGATGAAGACGTTATCCCCTTATGTGTTTGCTCTTAGTTCCATTAGCTGTGGGTGAATGCATGTGGCTCTTTTCAATGAGCTTGTACAATAACAAGATAGTTAAGATTGATAGGTGCATGGAATACAATCAATTCAGATGGGTCATGCGTGAATCACATGGGAAGGCATGCGAATGCTGGTGGAGATAGTCCTCTGGCTTACGTTAACACTGTATAGCTATACAAAGTCAACGTAAGCCAGAAGACTATCTCTACCAGCATTTGCATGCCTTCCTAGGTGATTCAAGCATTGATCCAGCTGTTATTGTATTCCACGCACCTATGAATCTTAACTATCTTGTTATTGAACAGGTTCATTGAAGGGAGCCAGTTATATTCACCCACGGTTATGGAATTTAGAGTAGAGACAATGGTAATACATGCAGTTGTCATCGTGTTGTAGAGCTTATTTGTTGAGTTTACAGGGTTGTTGATAGGCTTATTTGTTTGTTTTAAGGTTGTAGCATGATTGTAAAGGAAATTATTTTTTGATACAGGTTATTTTGTTAAAGTTTAACGATTTATCAAAAAATATTATGGACTCGATGTCACCTTTATTGATTGTTTTGTTAAGGTTTACGTGTTTATTGTGAAGTTTGGCGTTGTATTTACAATCTTATATATTAGTTGCTAAGGTTAGCGCTCTGTTACCAAGCTTATGGGATGGTTGCTAAGGTTAGCACCTAGTTCTTGCGTTTAGCTCTGTTGTTGGCTTATTTATTGGTTGTTAAGGTTGTAGCAGTCCTCATTATTTTGTTGAACTTAGGGAATTGTTGAGAAGATCACGGGGTTGTTGATAAGCTTATCTTTTCTTTGTTAAGATCACGGCATGGCTGTTAAGCTTATTTTTTTATTGTTAAGCTTATTGTTTTGTTGAACTTAGGGAATTATTGAGAAGATTACGGGGTTGTTGATAAGCTTCTTTATTGAGAAGATCACGTGGCATGATACATTGTTGTATTGTTGAGCTTATGGTTTTGTTGTTAAGATCATGGATTGGCTGTCAAGGTTATGTGCTGATTGTCAAGCTTATGGATTGGTTGTTAAGGTTAGCGAGATCATGGATTGGCTGTCAAGGTTATGTGCTGATTGTCAAGCTTATGGATTGGTTGTTAAGGTTAGCGCCTTGTTGTTAAGGTTAGTGCTCTGTTGTCAAGCTTATGTATTGGTTGTTAAAGTTAGCTCTCTGTTGTTAAACTTATGGAATGGTAGCTAACATTAGCTCCTTGTTGTAACGCTTAGCTCTGTTATTAGTCTTATGGGTTAAGAAGATCACGGGGTTGTATTGTTAATCTTATGGTTTTGTTATTAAAGATCATGGATTGGCCCTCTATATGGTTGCTAAGGTTAGAGCCTTGTTGTCAAGCTTATGGATTGGTAGATAAGGTTAGCGCTCTGTTATTAAGCTTATGTATTGGTTGCTAAGGTTAGCGCCCTGTTGTTAAGGTCCCTTACTGTTATTCACTTGCGCTTGGTTGTCACGGTCACCGGGGTATATTCTCTGCTACTACATTCAATGTTCCTCCTAGTTCCCAAGGAGGAGAGTTAATACAACCTGGGCTCCTACCTATCCCCACATTTCACGTGGAAACATCACCATCCCTTCGTCTGTTCAGCTACAGGATAGCGCAGGTATCCTTTTCGGCGCAATCTTTCCTCGATCTCCCCTACCATTTATTCTCTGTTGACCCTCTATATTTAATCTGAATAAAAATCTACCCTCTCCCCAAAACCTAGAAGTTCTCCTTTCGCCATTAAAACCAGAAGATCAACTCTAGTCCTCACGCCGATGAAGGTCATGGCGACGAGGTTTGCGCACACTGATGAAGATCTTGGGTATCCCTCACGCTGATGAAGACGTTATCCTCTTATGTGTTTGCTCTTAGTTCCATTAGCGCACTGTGAATGTATGTGGCTTTCTCCAAAGAGTTTGTACATTAACACCCAGTTATGATTGATAGGTACGTGGAATACAATCAATTCAGATGGGTCATGTGT